TAAAATTTGCGGGCGTATTTTCCGGATTTTGAACAGTGTTTTCGCTCAGATTTAAAGTGGCTAAATTTCGATGACTTTTGAAACTTGGCTATTTTTCAACGACCAGTGGTAAATCTGGCTATTTTTTAATTTCTCCCCAAAATAGTGGCTATTTTTCAATGACTTTGCAAATGTTAACTATTTTTGAATGACCAGTTCGAAAATTGGCTAACCCGTGCTATTTTTACTAAATTATCTTAATGTAACAAAAGACTCACGCGGTGCATATAATTATGTTCCCTACTTTTTATTTCAACTATAACATACCATGGTGTAAAAATAAACTTCCTCCGCATCAATTTACTTGATACTCTTTCTATTTTGTATTCTATAAAATTTGACATCATTATACTAACAATATTTTTCCTTAGAACATTCATAACTTCTGAAATGCAAATTCATTCGACTATGCGTGATGTTCTCTATTAACTAATTACTACATTTCAAGGATATTACTTAAATTTTTCTTCAATCCATCTCAGATACCATACCATACCATGACAATAATAATGAGTACTACATAATTTCAACTCCTAGACGGCTAGTCCAAATTTAATTTGTTAAGATTTGAGTGTTTAATGAGTTTAGGTGTTAAAATGAAAATACGCAACAAGGAGGCTGTCTATGAGTTTGGCCTCCTCCTCCTCCTCCTTATTATTATTATTATTATAAGAAGGTATTCGAAAGTTGATATCTTTTTAAGTAGTAAGGATTTGTTAATGCTATTTATACGAGTCAACCGACAAAGAGAATCAATTGGTACTTGAGCACATTACCTGGTATTTATCTTCTCAAATTCCGATAATGATCTCAAGATTCTCAACCAGCATACTAGTAGTGACTTCTACTAACGTTGTTAAGGGTATCCCCAGGCCCCTAGCTAGCCCCGGGACCTCGGGATCCCCCCCACAACCCCCCCCCCCCCCACACCACGATACATGCAAAATTAAACTGTAGTAGAACAGACATAACAATATCAATTTCAGATACTTTCAATAGATTAGGCAAACTTTTCAGTATCTCTGAAGCTATTCCTTTCATATATGACACTATTTCCGTTTCAAGATATTTTAATAATATTACCTATGATTCCAAAATACTAATTTTGTTTCGAAATATTTGATGATAAGAAACAAGAAATCATTTATTATTCTTTTGCTGAAAATCCATCCTTTTGGTTCAATTAGTAGAGTGGTAATTTATCTGAATGTTTAAAGAGAGAAAATTTGATAATTTAGAATTTCTTATAATTAAAGCTATGTTAAAAGACTTTTCAAAGATTGTACAACAGTCTTAAAACACATATATATGGACCGGAGTGAATATTATTAAAATACATCTTTCACAAGTTCCTGTCTATTTAGGTTAACTTATTGTTGCAATAATTTATCCATTGTAAAACTTTTATGATATCCTATAGTAAGATAACACGTTGCCAGGACTTGAGACTTCCAACAAAGTTGGGGCTATGAACCTATGACATCTCATGCCAGATGAAGTAATCAAAAACGAGGTAAAGCAATTAAGCAGTATTCTCCCGGTCTACTTTAATTGATTTTTTTTGGGTGTTTTTATACTTACTAAGGAATCCATCCTTTAGCATTACTTAATAATGAAATTGATCATATTAACTTCATTTTGTTTATTGAAAATATAACAAATATATGCTCTTTACTCCAAGGGCAATTTTAAAAGAAAAAAAGTTATTTCTCCTTGATACGTTTCTGAAAAAAATCAAATATTGTGATCCATAGAAAACGAACAAAAACTTAATTAAAGTGGACCGGAGGGTAAGTTATTTGAACTTTTCTCTCGTAAATGGAAGTGTAATTAATTACTCCTAAGATATGAACTCGCCGTACTACTCAAGTTGCACAGGACTCAAAGCACAAGTAATAAAGCCAGGTTGGTTTACAATTTTCCAAGTAATTGATTAATAATCCAAGAAAGATTCATGAATGGATCCGAAATGTCTTCATTTTGCATAGCTTTTTCTTGCGAAATACGTAAAGAATAAGCAGTTCTATCATGGGTACATTCATTTCATAGTTTCTCAAGATAGAACTGCTTATCCTTTGCAAATTTTCAAGTGATTAATTTATGCACAATCTTTGGTTTACATTTAATGCACTCTTTGGAATAATTAACTCTCTTGGGTATTTGAATCACATATATTTCTCATCCAACAATTATAAGAACGTACCTTAAAAACTTTAATTGTAGTAGTTTCTTAAAATAGTCCTCTCTCTAAGTTTTGAAAATCTCTCTAATGCACTGACGAAGCTACATTATCTGAGGGTATCGAAAAATTATATTGTGTATATAAATAAAATATATCGGATTTTAAATGTATATAATATATATTGAACATCCTTTGTCGGAGAATTTTTTTCACTTCTTTTAAGTTTGAACACCCTTACGAATATTCCAAGTTTCGCCACGGTTCTAACCACCACAGTGCAGACCAAACACAGCCAAATAGGCACAGTAGGTTGAAATGCCAAAATGAGCAGCTCAGATTTTTTTATTCACGTCGAACTACGTTGGAAAATTCTTAGGCGCAATAGACGCTGCCATATTTTACTTGATCGTTTTACAAGTATATATGGCAGAGTAAATGTGTACAAGAGTATGCTGCAAAGTGCAAACGGACAATCGTCTGGTTAGCTACAAAAGGGTAGAGAAATGAAAAAGATTGGAGCCTAAAATGGAAAAGATCAGACAGAGTCTAACCCCTTACTTTGTATACAATTGGTAGTCATAATTCATTTATGGAATTCAATTCTAAATTGAATTCTACAACCTAGTCAACATTTAAAAAACATGTAACTCATTTATGGTTACAATTGGTAGACATAATTCATTTATGGAATTCAATTCTAAATTGAATTCTACAACCTAGTCAACATTTAAAAAACATGTAACTCATTTATGGAATTCAATTCTAAATTGAATTCTACAACCTAGTCAACATTTAAAAAACATGCAACTCATTTATGGAATTCAATTCTAAATTGAAAAAAAAACATGTAACTCATTTGTGGAATTCAATTCTGAATTCTACAACTTAGTCAACATTTAAAAATAAAAAACATTTATCTTCATATACACAAACATTAATTATAATTACCAAGTACGTGTATATATATATATATATATATATATAAAATTTAATTTTCCTATTTAAAATAGAAAACTTTTATTTGTCCACAATATTAATTATATCCTCTGTGCTAGCAAATAATAAAATAATATTTCATTTGGACTACCACCAAAGGATGTGGTGCAGTGGATGAGACTGCACCTCCCTTAACCAGATCTCGAATTCGAGCACTGGGTATGGAAAAATCCTTGGTAGGGAGCGCTTCCCCCCGAAAGGGACCCTACGCGATGCGAATCCGGATATAGTCGGGCTCCAATGCGGGTACTGGATACTGGGTGGGAAACCAAAAAAAATATTTCATTTGGACTAATAACTAAATTTATTTGACTAATTAGATTCTTTAATTTAATTATCAAATAATAAAGTAATTAATCCTTTAGCAAAGATCAGAACACTCGTTAGCGTGCGACTCCACAGGCTCAATATTAAGCAGGTAGTAAATTGATCACATCGATATACTAATCAAGGGTGGCGTCTAGCAATACCCCTTAACGACCGGATAGCATGAAGTATACAATTTATTCTCAAGAACCTGTAGAAGAGTAATGTATTAATTCCTTCTGTCCTTATTGCTCTGCGTCACCCTAGGATATGGTTTAACTGTCAAATTCTAATAGGCGATCAACGTTGTGTTCATGTCAAATATAATCGACCATTGGAGGGCCTAAAAAAATCTTTTCTTCTTTCATTCAATCACCCTGACCAAGGTATTATGTCACGACCCAAAATCCACTAAGGGTCGTGATGGCGCCGGACATCACTGTCATGCAAGCCAACACCATTTAACTAGTAAATTCTCGTTTCAATATTTTCAAAAAAAATCTTTTCCGCTAAACATTAAACATTGAATAATAAACTTCACTAAATAAATAGTGATGTCTTTACAAAATTACTAAACAATCCCGAATCATCCCAGAACCCGGTGTCACAAGTGCATGAGCAATTACTAGGAAATCTATAAAGTACAATAGCTGTCCAGAATTCAAACTTGGACAGAAAGTAAATATAATACACTGAAAGAGACTCT